TGAAGTTACCATGCCACATGTCAACTGATATGAAACATTTCCTTACTAGATTTAGTAGACACTTTTAAAAAGCACAACTTTTCCTTTATGCTTTAGATATTCAAATTACTGAAAATTTCTCAGCTGCAAGAAATATCTGCCACTGCAAGGCCATTAATATACTGAGCAATTAAAAACCTAGACTATGGGTTATTATTTTTTCAGAATAAATAAGCTATTTTCTTCATTACTATTCCTAATTTAGAAAAGATGTTGTTTATTCTTAGCAATCTTGACATTAAGTGCACCTCAAACAGAAGCAAGGATGTTGTCTATGTTTTATTTTTTTTATATTAATCAAGATTAGTTAATTTGTAGTAATGTTGTATTGATGTGAATTTGAATAAAGAAAGCAATGAACTAGTAAAATAGCAAAAGACAATGTATCCATTATTATTGCAATAAAACTTATGGCAAAAAGACAGATGCACCTGCATGCCTCTGTGTCTATGTGCTTAAATGCAGTAGAAAGGAAAAGGGCAAAAAGATACAAAGCACCATTTTATCCAAAAATATTTTATCAGTACGATTTGCTGACACAACATGAAGTTAGAAAAATATACAGTTTTATTATAAAAAATGTATTTTTAAAGTGGTGATTGTTATAGAAGTATAGTCTAAATGAAGGCATTTTTCAGAATATTCAGTTTGCCTGTTTCTCCATTGAATTTACAGCTGATCAGAAGTCATATAAGCACCACAGAGGCAAAACCTGAAGGACTCATTTGAGGAGCAGAAAACAGAACACATTTCAAAGACTCCCATTCTGGGCAGAAGAGATGCAATTACTAATTTTTCAGAATTATTTATTAAAAAAAAACAAAAACAAACAAACAAACAACACACATTGCTAATCACCATTTGTAGAGAAGAAAACACAAATGTTTTGTTCTTCTCATACACAGAAAATCTGCTATGGAGGAAATTGCTATTACCAGATTAGAAATTTTTACCTATTAAACCATATTAATTATTGCTTTAACCTGAGAAAGGACACGGGGAAGATTTAATGAAAGTTTCTGTCAAGATACATCCGTAACCTACAATACAGCCTGTTTAAGGTCATTTCATAACAGTGCAATTGCTCTGTGTCCAGTGAATAAGACATCAGATTTGCCACAGGAAAACTGGACTGATTTTCTGCTTTGCCACAGACAACCCATGAACCCTCTTTAGTCTATTCCAGTTCGTTCATCTATTCTAAAACAGGACTAACAGTCCAGTTCTTACTACTAGATGAACTCAATGAATAACTAGCTAAATGGAGCAAGGTGCAGATTACAGATAATATACCTAAAGGAGGCTGGTAATGACAGAATTTCAAAGCATCCTTAAAATTAGCTCAGTTTCAAGTAGACTTGCAGGTTTTCCCTTCTTAACTCGCTCTAGAAGGCAAAAGAAAAAACTCAATTTCTTTTAGAACTAGTCCATTTGTCTACTGCACATTTGCCTCATAATATTCTGAGAAATGGAAAAAGAAATTTACAAACTGATAGGGGGCAGGAAGAGAAATAATTGAGCTATCCATCATTTTTGAGCTATCCATCATTTCAAAAAACTCCAGAAAAAGTGACCACAAAGGTTTTTTTCCTTCTTCTCCCATTTTTTTTTCTCCTCCTTTTTTCCCCCCCTCCCCAGATCTCTCCTCCTATTTTGTTTGACTGGTTCCTCAAGGAAACACTAGCGTAGAGCAGCATGCACCACATTCAAGCTACAATATGCATCAAGCTCACATGTTCTCCTTTCCACTTACACACTGAAAAGCAATATGAATATACATATTCTATACATCAAGATACTCCAATGCAAAATCAGCTTAATTCTGACTGTATAAAAATTTTCCTTAAAAAAATTATAACTGTATATATGCACACATAGATGCATATATATTTACAAAAATTACCTTTCTCCAGTCTCATAAATACTAGTGAAATTTAACTTATCAAAAAATGTTTTTTTTTTAATCAAAATTTATCAAAAAGGGGGGGGGGGAAATTTTAAGTAGGTAGCAAACTGTACCTCTCCAAGAATGAACTCCCAATGCTTTAAAGCAGTGACAGTAGCTTAAGCACAACCCCATCTCCTGCCCCATCCCTTTCCCCCACTTGTGAAGGGGAGGCAGCAGGATGACAGGCATGCTGAAGCCAGTCACTGAAGTTCCCAATCCAGAGCACAGCTGGAAAGCCACCTCCACCTGGATTTAACTGATGTGCCAGACGGGCACCTGCAACATGAGGGGCTCCCACCTCAGGTGCACCTCAGTGCTCCTGCCCAACTCGCACCTGCCCAGGACACCCCAGGGCAGCATGGCCCACACTGGGGCAGAGCTGGGGGCCTGCCAGGACTTCTCACTCTGTCAGGGGAGACACTCCATCAGAGGATCTGCCTTTGGGTTCTTATTCAAGGCACGTATGTCACTTCTACATTGCACCTGCAATTTAAAACATGCAGTTTTTCAAAGCCTAGAAGTCTCTTCAAGCTGTAGTTAGAGCTGCAAATTTGTGTCTGAAAAAAGCTGCCTGCAAGTAGAAAGGTTTTGCCTCAGAAGGGGAGACGCAGCATTTATGGGCAGCATGAGAACTGGGGCACTGCTTTGAGCAGCTGCAAGCACAAGTAAAATGCATCGTTTCTTAGGACACTGACATTTTCCCATGCTTTGTAATTATTATTGTAAGCTAGACATAAATCCAGAATTGTTCTAGTGTATTTCTTATTTTGAACTTTACATTTACTCACTGTTTCAGTATTCAGAAATTCTAACTTTTATGACACTTAAGCACTTAATAGGGACGACAGATAAAATATATTTGAAAATTTCTAGCATGATTTTTGCTTTTATAGTAAGCAAGTATAGAGTATATAAAATATTTTACTAGTAACCTTAGAATGTTTATTCCGTCCTCCCAAACACAAGATAACACAAATCTATGTTAAAACAAAAGGCTACTTTTATTGCAGTGTTTGAGAAAGCACACAGGAACCTGCACCTTTTACCATTGTCGTGGGGTACAATAAGAACCCTTGCATTTTGTACAAATTCAAAGTTTTCAACTTTAGTCATTTAAATCATTTAAAGCATTTGTGAAGTAAACTAAAACATTTACACAGTTCAAATTATAAACTTGTTTGAATAATTGTTACAAAGCGATACAGAAGCTACTGATTCTTAGTTATTTTCCTTAAGCCACATGCTGCAAAATACTATGGCATGAGCTCCAGGCAAGTGCAATTACCAAATTGGGTAATAAAAATAATAATAAAAGATTTAGTTACATGTGCAAGAAAGAGTCAAATGCTTTTCAGCATTAACAATGAAGGGATCAGAAGATGCATAGTAGAATAATAAAGACCAAAACTTAAAAACATAACAAAAGGTACACAAACAGGACTACAAAATAAGGATAAAACTGCAAGTTACTGTTGCTCAAAGCCTTTTTTGCATCTTAGTTATCTAATTACCCAGAATGGCTGACCTCACAATATTTCTCCCTGATACACAGTGACATCAAATCTTCCCATTTCAGCACAACAGGAAGTGTATGCAAAAAAAAATAATGGCTTTTGGAGACTAACTCAGTCCAACTAAGCACACACAGACAGGAAGACCAAACTATAGCAACTATGAATAAGAATTAAAGTGATACATGAGAAGTAAGGTGAGGAGGAAGGCACACAGAATTCCTCTACACAAATCATTGCTTACAACTATTCAGCAATAACTCCTTTGTCCCAGACAAGTATTTAAGAGGGTAGCTGTTATTTCTAGGTAATCTTCCTTAGATTAAGTCTTAATAGTTGCAGCCTTGATTCTGCTGAGGATCAGAGCATACAGACCCACATAGTTCTCTAGAAAACAACACAGTATAATCTGGACACAACAGCAAAATCCAAAAAGGAGATTTTTCTGTATCAACTGAAGCACAGTTTTGTGAGGTCACAAGATACATACACAATTAATCCTCTGAATCAAGAAACATCTGATGGAGGACACAAGCAACTCAGCTGTCCAAAGTTATAAAATTCTGATACATGACAATCAGATGGAAACAATGGTAGTTAATATACTAAGAAATAAGTCAAATTTAGAGATGACACTGGAGCTTTTGCAGCCTAGAACAGAGAGAATTTGGTGAACAGCACTAGTCACCGAGTGTAAAGTTCTCACATATATAAAAAGCTGTTTTTATTGTTTTCACTAGAGAAACGATCAAGAGCAGCAACTAAACATTTTCACACTCATGCTTAGTGTATCAATGACTACGTTTACAGTCTAGGTTTAACTTAATCTGTTATAGACACTTAAGAATTCATATATTTTAGATACGTTTCATACACATAAATGATGTAGCAATAATTCATAAGAAACACTTACTGGGTAATTTTTTTGGAGGGATGGAAGGATGGGTTCAGGTAGGGCTATAAAAAAAAAAAAAAGTTTAAAGTTGCTGTGATTCATATAATTCACAGGAAGCAACATCATATCAACTACACCAAAGGGCTGGACTGAAATTCCATGTTAGAAACATCTGCCCAGAACTTCAATTTCAGGCATTTTGTAAAATGAGTTATTCCACAAATCCTTCTAATACTACATGTTATCTATGGCAGAATAAGTAGTAAATTGAGTTAAAGGAGGCTATTACTAAGATACTACTACTTGTAGAAGACAAGAAAAACTCTACAGTAGCTGGATACCCCCTGCCTTTTAAAATTCATGTTAATTCGAGGTCACAGGAAACTCCCTCTAAAGAGCAGTCAACCATTGTTTCACACAAGCTCTCTTTCCTTTTTAAATAATCTAATACAGTCTGATTACTTTCCATGCTATGATATATCCAGATTCTGGACAAGCATATATTCGTTGGCTTAATTTTTTTTTAATGTTGAGTCTCCCAAAGTAAACTTGAACTACAGCTAAAATGCCCAATATATTTAGTCAGTATTGCTAGCAAAAATCCTATAAAAAAGTATATCTAATCTAATGCTGTTAGCTGATCTATTAAATAGAAAGCAGAATATAAAGTTCATACAGAAGCTAGAGATACTAATTAATCATTTATGAAAGCCATGGGTAGGTAAAATATTGCATACTAAAAATAACAAGACAAAGAATCATCTTGTGGATGTAGCACCAGGACAGGTGGTGCTACAGATACAAAGACAGAAAAATAATCCCCAAACATTCACATCCCAGTCAACTCTTACAGCAGCTACAAAACTGTTAGATCATCCCTAGTAGGAAGGTTTTAATATCACTTCATTAGCATGTTTTTTTAAGCAAAATTGGTCTATATCATTTACTAGGGAAAATGCAATTATGTTCAACACAGGAGTTTACCATGGCATTTAATTCACCCTTGAATCAAGGTCTCGCAGAGGAAGAGATGTTCAAGCATCTTTTTTTTTTCCTATAGTGATAAAAATCAGAATAGCAAAACTCCCAGAACATGCTTGGGATATTTTCAAAGAGTATACTATATTAACTAGCATAAGTGCTAATAATATGGAAATATGAAGGAGTATATTATTTCGACAACATCTTGAATATTTTCCAATTCTATGCTTTACTGAAAGAACAGGCAAAAAAATATGAGTGGTATGAGTAATGAAGATATTTCATGCATTAAGACAATAGGGTTAAGGGAAAAAATTACCACTAACATTTACCGCCTGAATTTTTCTTTTCCTACTGTACAAGATAGTTGGACCTGTTACCTGGAAAAAAGTTCAAGAACAAAACATTGATGCATCTACAAAATAAACTCAAGCCACACTAACCTTAGGTCAAAAAGCTTCCATACTAGTAATGATAAGAATATTGAAATAGATTAAGTAATTCAGAAATTTCCCTAATGAAGAGAGATCATATTTACTGCTAAAAGAAAGCAGTTATTCCTATCTGTTTTTTCTGGCCAGTACCATCAACAAAAGTCCTACTAGCAAATTCTATGATTAGGACACAAGCAGCTTTCAGTAGTATTATATACAAGTAGCAGAAGCGAGAAAAAGAGTTAAAACTTGAGGAAAAAACAGTATTCCAACACTTGGCGCCAGATACATGTCCAGAGCACCTTTCTCCAAACTTTTTAAGGAAAGAGCTCATGGAACACAGGTTAAAAACTCCCCATCTCTGGCCTCAAGACTGCTGATACTTCATAGGCAGCTACCACTGATGACTACAGCAAATGCCCTCATGCTTGTAGGGTCGTTAACATCGCTGCAAGCCTACACATTTATATCTGCTTGCAGCTCCCACTCTCTTCCTTTTGTGCATTACTTTTATCCACAGCTCAGTAACTGGCTATTCCTGACAGCACCCAGCATCTAATACAAGAAATTCCATACTCCCAGTCTCTAGAGTTACTATAATACTGAAAATATACTTTGAGAATAAATTTCCAAGTGAAAAGGCCTGCTTCCACTAAAAATCTTAATAGCAGCAGTATCAAATGCTTCTCAAGTCACAGTTGAGATGGTCATGAATTGCTAGACAGTGTAAGGATCTCTTCTCTTGCATGTGCTTCAACTTTGCAGAGCAATCTGCACCCAGTAGCTTTCATCAGTTTCACTCTTGGATCTAATAATCAGTGTAACCATTTTATTTTTACGTAGATATGTCATTTCATCTCTTCCAATCAACAATTCATTTTTTATTGTTGCTAAGAATCTATATTAAAGATTTATCACCTACAATATCATTTCAGAGTTGTGGCAACAGATTCATAACATTTTTCCCATTTTTTCTTTCTTTTCACAGAAACAAATCTATGAAACGCTACCAAAGGAAGTGTAGAGAAAGGATACTGACTGACAAAAGGAAAAAGACAAAATGAAAACTTATACAGTTTGTCCAGCTTATCTACAGATGTAATCACAAAATATTAAAAATCCACTGTTATTAAAATACACCAATCAAGAACAATCAGCATGTTACCAAAAAAATAAAGAATGAATATAAGCAGCAAAATACAAAGTCTATATACGAGCTGACAGGAATTAAGGAAATATTTCTGCAGGCATGTTACTGCATAAGACATGCACCTCAGGGGTTATGGCCAACCCTTCTGAAATTACCCATCTCCTAATAAATGAAAACCTCATACTGACCTAAATGGTTTCTTATGCAGTTCCTTAGGTCTTAAGGAAGAATTGCAACTTAAAAATTACAAACACAGATTTCTCTAATAACAGAGACTAATAGGGGGAAATTAATTTCAGTCTATTCTTCAGGAACACTTCCGGACCACACAGCTTCCTTAACTCTGCAGGAAGCTCCTGACAAAATTTCAGTGTTTCAATATATTAAAGTCACAACATAAGATGCTGCTAGTGGCAGCCGAATATCCCAACTTCTTATGTGACACTCATCTCTCAACAGACAGTAATCCAAAAAATCTTCTAGTTACATATGCGGTCTTGCACATATATATGCCCCATTATTCATATCTGATTATCAAAACAGGGAACTATCACCCCATAGCATTTGTCATGCCTTCAATTTTCTTGGAAGTTCCCAAATAAAAGAAACTTGAAATTGTAATGTTTTAGCTTTTTCCCTTGGAACTACTAATTTTTTTTTTTACCCACAGTACAGTGGATATCTAACAGAGGGCTTTTTTTAGTTAAAATGAGAGCTTGAGTTTATTTTATAGTTACACAATGTCCTGCAGGTACACCGAGTTTCTTTTTTTCTTTTAAACTTGTAACTCTGACTCCAGAAAAAAAAGGTCCATTTGCTAAATAAAAATGCAGTACTAAGGGAGGGAATAAAACCCAGCATTTTGTTTTCAGATTTTTCTCTGTGGAAAATAAAAAAAAACTGATGTTTAATTTTAAAGTCTACACAAATACAAACTTAAAAAGAACAGTTTCTAAAGACAAATATACTTACTCTGTAAATAGTGCAAAACCATCAACACAAGACTATAGCTGCTTAGAGTACCACGGCTGGCATCATTTATGTCATGAAAACTTGCCCATTTCTTCACAACCAGTACTAGTGGACGAACTCGATTCTCAACTGTAAATACAACAAATACTTATAAAAAAGCACAATAACTAGACAGTGCTCAAATTTTTATTCCCACTTGATCAATGACACTCATTTTGCACTCTAAAGTTACCTTTTTATAGACTTTATCTCTTCATAGACCATTTATAGACTTTACTTAATTATCCAACAACTATCATCCATTATATAAAAAACACTTTTCAAATTAGATTTATCTTTTATAAAATATCGTTTGAGTAGGAAGATCCCCAGATACATTACAAAATGGCCATGTCAGGTAGCTCTCAAATGAGACAAACCTGGATGTTCAGTCAATGCAACAGTTCCCTCCAGTTCGTTGTACTAATTTTTTTAGATTATATAAGCTTTGAGGACAGAAAAAAAAGAATTCTTCCAATTGGAGAACACAGAGATTGTGCTTAATTTTCCCTCAGGGAAAATGAAAGCAGTAAACACTGCATCCAAACATTAATTCTAAAATTGCCTGGTCCTCAGTAGCTTCTGATGAAGCTGATGAAACTCATTTAACAGATAAGTTTTGTTAGATAAAATACTACATTAGATCAAATTATCCATTTCATCACAAAAGACACCAATATAGTCACATTCCAGTTTTGATCTTTGAAGTCACAGGAGATTTATAAAGCCTTCTGCACAAAGGTTTAACACATTTTAGGAGATGTCACTAACCATCACCTCCTAGGGAGCTCACAACATACTTTATTGATTATTTGCAGGTATGTGGAAGTTGATCCTCAGCCCAGTGAGCTGCCTTACTATGGACTAGATAATCCTGTGACTTGGAGTACCTTTTTTTAAATCTGACATTTTTATGCAAAGTTTTGTATGCTGCACATCAAGACAGGAACCTGTCAGCTGGCAACTGTTTCATCCAGGACAAGAGATACCTTCCATAGCAGTGTCTCCCTAACGCTGCTATTCTGGAAATCCCATCAAAGCAGCTGCCCCCTACAACCTATTTACAATGGTTCAGTAGACATGTCTCTGAACAGCACGCTCTTCTTGTAGATCCCAAGTTAAATCTGGAAGACCTCTTGAAAACCAAGCTCCCTGTGACCAGTCACCTGATCCTCTTCATCATTCACTAGTGGTTGGATTAAAAAATTATGATTGTTACTAAATAAAATGCATAATAGTTAGTATACAGAAAATAACAATAACATTCTCAATAACAGAAGCACGAGGTTTTTCATGAGACAAATAGGCTCAAATTATAAACTGGATTTTGCTTTGAGTGTGAAATGCAAATGCATTTCACAATGGAAAGGATTTTGTTTTAATTAAATTCATTCTGAGATCAAGCTGTGTCTGCTTGTATTCATCATTAATGTATAATGAAATTAGTGTGTAACACTGCCACTAAGGTTTTTCTGACATTCTTCCAACAGTTTCCAATCTAATCCCTCAAGAAAATGCATAGTAATATCATTTGCTCAAAGATTCCTCTGTAACTGAAAAATTCCACCTATGAATTGCTGACTGAATTCCAGACATGCCTCCTTAGGTGGCCAACAGATTACACAAAAACGATAGATCCCAGTTATTAGCTCTACTTAATCTACCTATATTTTCTCTTTCTGTGGACCTTCTGCTCCACTTAGTCATATAAACTTTGATCTCCTCTACAGCACCTGATGCACCAATATAGAAGGGCTGGATTAGAAAAGACAGAAGAGTATCCACATATCCACATTTATAAACATTTTTAGCATGCCCACAAAGTTAATCAGCCCCTTGTTTGCTTGAGCATCTAATTATATGATACAAAAATATCAGTATGCCTTATACAAGAGTTTTTTTTTCCCTCCCCCCCTGCATGTAGGGTGAAGCCCTTCAGACATGAAAAAGTTAGTAGGCTAACACTTTTAATGCCATCTGTCCTGGTTGATGACTTTTAAAAGTATGTAAAAAACTATTGCCAGACATCTAGTTTCTCATTTGTTTTTGTTTACCTGAAGTCATATGAGAGCTTTCTTATGCAAAAGAGATGATAGACTATGCTTGATAAAGATTACCTATTTATGAAGGTCTTGCACATTTGTCACAGAACGAGTGGTGGTGGGGGTAAGTGACACAATGCACTTCACTCGTGGGAAAGAAATAGGAATAGGTTTTATTGGTAATGACAATGGTTTCATGAGATTCTATGGCAAGGTCACTTATTAGTTATTGCATGGAGGTTCAAGACACACACAGAATTATCAAGGACATCCTCCCGTTGGGTCACAAGGTTCAGACTGGACCCCCTTTGCTTTCCAAACTCCTTCTGAGAGGAGTCTGGGTGCGGCTGGATCCAGTCCTAGTCCCAGACCTGGTCAACGGTTTATGTCT